TTTTGTGATGACCCTGCGTCGAATTTATTTGCAAGTTTTCTGCTAAGACAGTTTGGGCTAGGATCTTTCTGTATACTGCTAGTCTTGAAATGGACTTTTCCAAAATTGAATAAAACCGTGGCTGTTGCACACATTCTTCTCTCTCTCCATAGGTAATTGTCCACCATACACCAAAAGTTTGGTAGCACTCGCTTTCTCAGAAAATCACTTTCAGTCAGCTGCCACATCTATGTTTTTGCGCTACCATTTTCCCTTTTTGTTGCTTTTTAGCTTGCTTTTGAATCGGAAAATGTAAGTTGTTTGGGAACTTTCCAAAGACAACTCTATTTCCATTAGGATTAAAAATGGACCTTGCCTAAATCGAAAATATGTGCAACAGATTGTTGACTTCATTCGTGAGCGCATTACCATCCTCCCCACTGTGGGCATAGTCTGTGGAAGTGGATTTGGAAAAATGGCCTCTAAGATGAAGAACGCTCAGGTGCTGAAGTATGAAGACATTCCAAATTTTCCCCGTTCCACTGGTGAGTTGACGATTCGTCTTCTACTTCTCAGTTGTGGGTCATCCTGGTAATCTGGTTTTTGGCGAATTTGGCGGGAAAATGGTGGTGGTGATGCAGGGACGTTTTCACATGTATGAAGGTTACGAGCGTCAACACGTGAGTTCAACCTTCCAAATTTACGTATTTTACCAGATCACGATCCCGATTCGGGTTATGAAATTGCTGGGAGTGGAAATTCTTCTGTTGACAAATGCTGCCGGTGGATTGAATCGCAGTTTAAAAGTTGGCGATCTGGTTTGTATCAAGGATCATATAAGCTTTCCGGGTATGAGCCTAAACAATGTACTCGTAGGCCCAAACGACGAAGAGTAAGTTCAGTGTGCTTAAATTACTTCCCAGTTTCGGCGAGAGATTCATTGCTATATCGGATGCATACGACTCAAATTTACGTAGCATTTTCAAAAAGGTTGTTGCAGAGATGAACTTTTCGGATGTTGTGAAGGAAGGTGTTTACGCTCATGTTGGTGGTCCTACTTATGAAAGTCCTGCAGAATGTCGCATGCTGCTCATGATCGGAGCTGACGTTGTCGGTAAGTCTCTATTGATTTGCATCTTCTTACGGTGATGATGCTTAGGTGCATGTGGGTGTTGAGGAAATGTAGCACTTCGTCTGAAACTGCGGATGAAACTATTCTAAGTTCTCCCATTCAACCGTTTGGGGCGTTGTGTTGATTTTACATTGTTTGCGTATGTCAACACCTAACTGTTCGTACTCTTTTTGAGTTGACCCGCGAGTTTAAATTGCGTTTGCGTTTGAATCGGACTCTCTTCTTGACGTATGCATCCAATGTGAAGCCTTGACTATCATTACTATTTCTGTTTTTATTACCACACAGGTATGAGCACTGCACCCGAAGTGCTTGTGGCACGGCATGCTGGAATTCGAGTGTTTGCACTCTCCTTGGTAACCAACGTTAGTGTTCTGGATGAAGAGTCCAAAGAAAAAG